TAATTTCAGGTTTCCTTCAATTTAAAAGTAGTTTTGTGCGTGACCAAAATAACTCAAAATACCGTGACTAAGCTCCTTTAAGACAAGTTACAGCAATGATATATCAATTTGCTTTTTTCTTGGTTTCAAGCGCAGAAAACATTGTTTTTTAAACCTAATCCTGTAGCGTCAGTATCCATACGCCCAATTAGTATGTAGGTACTTTCCGCTATTTTTACGGGGGATGTAAAGTCAGGGGCGTCAAACCTCTGCGTCGGAAGACAAACATTTCGACGGAAAAACGGTGTTACCGGTAAATTTGCGTTTCCACTGGGAATTTCTTGAACCCGGACCGGAGGAAGATGACACGAATAGGGAACGCCAAGGAAGAGATATTCAAAGTGTCAGCATATTAATGTCACTTTTTTGACACCATTATGGTGATGAAAAAGTAAATGACCGGAGGAAGATGCCACGAATAGGAAACGCTAAGGAAGAGATATTCAAAGATAGACTGAAAATAAGAATGAGTTGCTTTGTCAACATATCAATGTCACTTTTTTGACACCATATGATGATGAAAAAGCAAAACCTGACATTGAAGTTTGCGATTTCGGCTGATGTGAAAGAAACGGCGAAAATAAAATCATGGGCTAATTTGGCCGGCTCCGGTACCCTATACCCCAGGTCTAGTTTTATCAGGCCTTAAGCTGAGTTTGTCTTCCATCTTTACTGAAACATTTGGGTTTACTTTGCCAATTTTTCTATCGAAGGCGATTTGAACCAAGGTGACTGTCAACTAGCAAGACAGAGCCAGTCAGCGAGACAGATTTTAGAGCTGAGAACAGGAATTTTACGTCAAGACAATACCCACCATTGTCACAGGAAACCCAAGCATGCAGGTAAAGAGCTAGTTCGAAATTTCGAACTGAATACTCTTACACCGAAATGAAATTGATATCAAACTGATATCCGAAAACTAGTTGTATTTTTTTTTTTAACCTTTAATGTGTCTCTACGCGAATTAATTGATTTTAGGTCCCAAGATTCACAGGAGAAACGGTTGAACCAAAATCGCTCAACTGCTGCTGCTGTTGCTATTTCTGCTTACAATTATGTTATCAACTTTGTAGCGCGGTGACCTCATGGTTAGTGGGCTTGTCNATGAGTCACGCCTGTTCAGTAACATCCATTTCAGTGTTAAAATCAAGACCTCTCTCGGGACGAGAAGCGTGACTATGGGATAATTATTTGTCTTTCCTTACGTCACGCTAACGTTTAGCAAAAGCGCTTTCTTGTGTAGAAGCTTCTCCTATTCAGTCTGTTACTGCTTGTGTTGCCTTGTTCTATAAATCTTTTCTCTCCTCGTTTTCCGTAGCTTCCACTATCATCTGCTTCAACTCCTTGCGTCCTTTTCGGTGTTTAAACTCCATGTAAGCCCGACCTCCAAAAATGCTGAGTATGAGTCCAGCGCCCATGGAGATGGCTATCCAGGCCGCAAAGCTCAGGTAGGGGTCTGGAAACAAATAATATAGAAGGCGCACAAGTCAAAACGAATGGCAGTAGTCTAAAACAAGTGAAAAAATAAAATTGTATATTTCTAAAAAATAGATTGTTATACTGTGTCGGTTGTCAAGTGAGACGTTTCGTTAATTATAAACATGAAGAGGATAAATGGAATGAACGCCTTAGTGAATTTGAAAATCTGATATCTCAAAAGTTTGTCCACAGCACCCGGGGGGTGAGGGTACTCCCTATAACGGCCTATAAGGGTAGGCTCCGCCCGAAAGTGGTACTTGTTTCAGGCTTCAGATATGCGAAAGGGTAGGGATTTCACAAGTTGAGGCATATGAAATGGTAGGGAAATCTGTCATTGATGTATAACGCTAACGGGAACTGTTTAATGGACATTTGTATTTTGGTTAACATATCCTCAGATAATGCTTGATGTTTTCCCGTAGTATTGTTCATTAACTTCATTCCAATAGTTTGGAAAAGTGATGCAGTGTTCTTAAGTAGGTACATGAAAGGGCTACCTATCTTGTACAAAGGCATACAAAAGGGCTACCTTTTCTGTCAAAATGGTATACAAAAGGGTAAGGGCTTGGACCTCGCGGCGGAGTCTCCCTGTATAGAACTTTGTAGAGTACCCCCTGCCCAGGCCCCAGTATCCCTTGAGATTGCTTTTCCGTTCGTTACTCTTCTAGGAGTAGAGTCGAAGAGGAGGCGAAGGGTAGAGTGAGTCGAAGAGTAGAGGAAGATTCGCGTGACGATTGTGTATATAAATTATACCGGCGCCTGCGAAGGAAAATGAATTTGGTTATGCAGGGCGTGATACAACTCGTGACGCCCTTACCTCGGCTTTTTTCACAAATAAATGGTAACGCAATGTCGCAGTTCAAGTCAAACCACGTCACGACACCATTCCAGATGTTGATTTGCACACAGTCCTCTCCATCACACCTCTGAGGTGTAAATCGATCATAATGCTTGTCATTCGGTTCTTCTCTGTCCCAGTTAAGGTATGAAGGCTTGTTGTCAAATTGCCCCTGACCAATATCGTTCCAAACGTATATACCTGCGTAAATGAAAAACAAAGTCCTTTCAAGGTGAAACAGTGATAGAAATTAAAGGGATAGGACTTGTTAAATATTTTATTTCAGTGCAACTTCATCTCCAGTGGGGAGTGGGTTAGGTTCCCTGTATAAGAAATATTTGAAGAACGGACAAAAAGTAAATTGTGTTAAAAATTTTACTTCTGGGTAACTCGATCCCCAGACAAAGGGGGTGGGGGAGGGGGGGGACTTGACTCTGTTTCAGGTATAAGAAATATCTTAAGAACGGACAAAAAGTTAACTAAAATACAATGTTTCTTTGTGGCTGGACCCCAAATGATTGCCTGTAGGGATTGGCATCTAAAAGTGTAGTGTTGTAGTATAATGTTTGTGGACCTTTGTGTGTGGTTGGCATGACAACCGAGTCTGAACACACAAGAGATGTCCGGTTACAAAAGGTTTAGAATTGAATGTTTCAGTTTTGCTGCGACCATGACTGAGTCTGTGCTTAGGAGAGCTGTTCGCAGTTACATGACATACATATAAGAATGCCGCAGCATCTGTGTGTGACTGGGACAGGAGCTCGTAGCTACGGCCATATGAGTTAGTGTCCGACGACGTATACATTTACGAAAGATTACGAATGTAGTGAGTCTCTCCTCCTCAGAGCCCCCACTCTCTCCACACCCGTGGTCTCGTCCCGAAGGAGTTCAGTTTTAGGGACGGGTCATTATTTTTTTGAGAGGCAGGTTGGGCAATTTCAAAAAAATTCCTGCACAGCAAAAACTGCTGACAAAGAAATCGTTCATGGGGAGCCATGGGGGAAAAAAGGCGAGTAAGTGCTTTCTACCATCCGAGTCCTATTTTTGATGTTAAAAAAAATTCTTGAACAAGCTACTGCCTACTACTGAAAAAACAACCATGCGCAACCTAAGCATGAGAAAAAAATGCATGCCCTAGAAAACTGCCCAATCCCCACCCTCACCCTCCCCCTTAAAACAATAATGATCCGTCCCTTTTGAGTACTTGAAACGAACATGACGTACCAGCCTCCACGCGGTCATTGAGTCCAATCCATATGTTAGTCTTGATCAACCTTCCAATCAAATTGTTTTTCGATGCGCTGGAGATTGCCACAAGGGTAGCGTTCTTCTCTATGCAGGTTTTTCGTGCCCAGTCCCAAGTCACAGCCTCACGTACATACAGGTAGCAATTATCGTCCACACATGTCCAGCCAGGGAGATCTGGGAAAGAGAAATATGACGTCAGTAGAAGGTCAGTAGAGCAGGGAGGAGACGAGGAAAAGTCGCTTCTTGCTAAGAAACCAGGCCGATATGCTAATTTACAATTAAATTATGAGCTCGAGATTTCTATCGCATGATAGTTGACGAATGTGCGACCCGAGTCAACTATCACGCATTTAAATCGAAAGCGAATAATCTAATTGTCTTGGTATAATTCTACTAGTTTTCAAAACTTCATCTAAATATTCCTCACAGACAATTCGAAGATGCAGAGAAGCTTCCGCCNGAGCAAGTGCTTTCTACCATCCGAGTCCTATTTTTGATGTTAAAAAATTCTTGAACAAGCTATCGCCCACTAAAAAACAAACAACCATGTACACCCTAAGGGTGAGGAAAAAATTTCATGCCCCAAAAAATTGCCCAACCCCAACCACCCTCCACCCTCCACCCTCCCTCTTGAAAAGATGATCCGTCCCTTTTGAACACTTGAACCGAAGATTACGTACCAGCCTCCACGCGGTCATTAAGTCCAATCCATATGTTAGTCTTGATCAACCTTCCAATCAAATTGTTTTTCGATGCACTGGATATCGCCACAAGAGTGGCATTCTTCTCTATGCAGGTTTTCCGTGCCCAGTCCCAAGTCACAGCCTCACGTACATACAGGTAGCAATTATCGTCCACACATGTCCAGCCAGGGAGATCTGGGAAAGAGAAATATGACGTCAGTAGAAGGCAAGTAGAACAGGGAGGAGACGAGGAGAAGTGGTTTCTTGCTAAGAAACCGGGCCGATATGCTAATTTACAAATAAATTATGAGCTCGAGATTTCTATCGCGTGATAGTTGACGAAGGCGCAGCCCGAGTCAACTATCACGCATATCAATCGAAAGCGAATAATCTAATTGTCTTGGTATAATTCTACTAGTTTTCAAAACTTTATCTAAATCCTCCTCACAGACACTTCGAAGATGCAAAGAAGCTTCCGCCAGTTTTATTAACAACCGCACACTGCCAGGCTACTCGCTAGCTACAACAGAATAGATAGTGAGTAGCGTAGCCAATTACAGAACGGCATTCGTGATAGAACGTTAGTAGAAGTCTGCATACTAACCAAGTGGCCCATCAGACCGGCGCTTATCTTCAGTTTCTCTAGTGTGAAGCAGCTAGTAGAATTTCTAATTCCACCCTGGATGGGATGCTAGTCCATTACAGGGTTACCCCCAGCATTAAATTCGCCGGTACACATTTATACACCTGGGTGGAGAGAGGCACTGTGAGAGAAAATTGTCTTGCACAAGAACACAACACAACGTCCCCGCCAGGGCTCGAACCCACGCGCTCGATCTGGAGCCGAGCGCACTAACCTTGAGGCCACCGCGCCTCCCACCTACTATGAAGTAATGTACACTTTAATTTCATTTTCAAACCTCAATCCTCACCTTCAGCAAACTTTCTTTCACACACGTAGCTTCTATGCGCTTTACACACCACATCGTTCCACTTTTTGTTCACGGAATTCATCTCCACGCAATTCTCGACGTTGCACTGCCCGTTGAAATTGTTTGGTTCGGGATTTTTTCCATCACCTTTGTCCCAAGCAAAAAATACCGGTTGATCGAATTTGTTGTAATTCCAAAGAAATCTCGATTCCTTACTTCTGTCGTTCAATCCTATCCAACCGCCACTCCCCGTCAATAGAAGATGACCAACAAAACTGAAAATAAATGGATGACACAAGGTTAGAAATCATCCCGCAGAGAAACCGGTCGGAATATATATTGTTAAAACAAAGGGCACTGTGAGGTAAGGTAATGTCTGCATACGAGCCGAGCGGCCCATCAGGCCGGAGCTTATCTTTGGTTACAGTAGCTCTGTAGTGCATGAAGCGACTAGGAATATTGTTACTCCCCCCCTGGATGGGATGCTAGTCAATTGCAGGGTTACACCCAGCATTAAATGCGCCGGTACCATTTATACACCTGGGTGGAGAGAGGCAAGTGAGAGAAAAGTGTCTCGCCCAAGAGCACAACACAATGTCACTGGCCAAGGCTCGAACCCGGACCGCTTAATCAAAGGTTCAAACTAGCGTACACTGCCATAATATGTCCCGGTCTCCGAAGAATAAACAAACTAGGTGTACTTTCTGTATCCCCTGGATGGGATGTTAGTCCGTCGTAGGGTTACTCCCCATAGTTTTGAATGAAAGTTCTGAGCCTTCAATTCTAACAATTTACATTTCTGGTTGGAGAGGCACTGCGAGGCCCTGTCCACACTACGATGGAGAATTTTGAAAACGCAACTTTGTTTCCTCAGTTAGGCCTTCCGTCCACACTTATCCGTCCCGAAAACGGGGCTTTGCGAAAACGCTCTTCAAACCGGAGGAATTTTAAATCGCCGGCTTTTTGTTTTTGTGTGGACGGAAAACATTTTGAAAACGGAGCTTTTCAAAAACGATGACGTTTCGATAACCATGTGCTTTTCCTGACCGAGTTTTCGTCAAACACAAATCCAAAATGACCAGTGATTGTTGCGTTTTCAAATTTCTCCTCTTAAGGTATACGGTAACCTTAAACTGAAACAAATTCAGTAAAGGAGAATTTAACCACCAGCCATAGATACTTGAAGAACAAAACAGGTAGAAATTCCTTTAACTGACAGACAAAAAATAAACAAGAACCTTCTTTCGAATAATATATTTTGTTTTAATGAAAATATACACAAGGATTCAATGGTATTCACTACAATTTCTACAGCAAATTCATCATGCCAGTCATTTATCAATCGATCAGAAACTAGACTCTCAAAAAGCAACTGCAGGATCGAGTTTCATAATTAATAATTTGATGACGTCGCTTTCATTAATTACACGAGGTTAACATATTAGTGATTTCTGACGTCGTATAATTATANCACACTAGGGTTTCATCCACAGACTTAAAAGTTAGAACCACCTTGTACAGCAAACTAAACAGACCACATGAAATTACAATATTGCTCGATAGCTTTTACACTAGGGTTTAACTTAAGATTCACATTAATGAACAAATGACTAGTTAAGCATTAGTTTAGGCGTTTTCTTACTCGTTTTCCTCGCTACTGTCAATTGTAGCAAGCTTGGCTCCAAATTGTCCCTGACAGTAGTAGTAAGCACTGAGCCATGTCCTCGGTTGAGAAAAGTAACGGTAGCATTTGTCATCGAAATGATGCCAACCTTCCAGACACATTCCTGTGAAGCGAAAACCAAACTGAATTGTGTACACAAAGCTCTATCACTGGGTGCTTAGACCAGACCACCAACCAAACACTGCCATTAAGCACTACGCATGCAAAGTGTAAGGATGGGAGAAAAAAGGAAAGACACAGGGGCGAAGGGAAGGCTGACAAAAGAGGAGAGAAAATAGGGATGGAGGCAGGGAGGAGAGTTGATAAAATAGGTAGGGAGAGGAGATAGGAGAAACAGCTAGAGGGGGAAAGTAGATGAGAAAAGGGATAGAGGGGGAGGGGAGATACGTTTTATGTAAAAGTAAACTGCTACTTGAAGTGATGTGCAATACGAAACTGCTTCTACATTTACCTTCACAAGCTGTCTCGCAATCGTTGAAGTCAATCTCTCTTTCATTGACATCACAGCCTGAAGCAAAAAAGTAACACAATCAACAACGATTGAGAATGCACAAACGATCACTCTAAGGTTAAAACACAGTTACCTCTGGGATAAACCTGTCTCTAAACCTATCGCTTTGATTTTCTGGAACGAGGATTTTTTTTTACGCGAGTTGCGAGACTTTTCTGAGCGAGCGCTTTGGAATATGCACAAGAACAAGGACAACGTGCCAAGGGATAGAATATAGCAAAATGGCTGGGGATCAATCGTTTTTAAAATATTAGCATAACTTGTCTAATAGTCGATGTTGTTTAACTTTTTAACTTTCAATCCTGGAGACATTATTTGTGTGGTTGACTTTGTATCTATTATTTTGCAAGCCAGCAACTAAAAAAGAACGCCAAAAACAAGGTTTAGGCCTCATTTATGGAATTCAATATAACATCACACAAACAAAACATGGCGGAGCACCAAAGCAGCACAAACCATCAGCTGAGTTTAGGGTTAAAATTAAGTATAGTAGTTAGTGATTTCTGGTAAGCATTAGCTTTTTTAAGGTTTACATGGCTGTTCCGACGTGTTGCGCGGGAGATCCCTGGATTTGGTACATCCACCCATGTTTTGCACCGGCTAAAAAGATCGAGTGGCTCTGGGCACGAGAATGGATGCTTCTTTGCCAATACCTACCTCGAACTACCAGCCAGTGCCGAGTAATTTCCAGTCCCCCAGCGGTGTGTATCATGGCGGAATACAATGCCGTATCGGACTCCTCCAGTCGGCTTATTTCAACCGTTTTGCCGCGATCACCTGAGATACGGATACGACCGCCAGACTCCATGGTGGTTGTTTCTCGCTTTTTCCATTGGAATGTGTCGTTGGTGTTGTAGTAATGTTCTCCGTCGAATGTAACACATTCTCCCCTCTTCTTCTTGATAAGTTTCTTGTTGATTGAGATCACTTCCTCAGCTGCGAAGAAGAACACAACAGAATCAGGCATGAGAGCAGTTTTTGCGTGAAATATGCATCGAATCTGCGTGAAATATGCTTGAGACTTGCCGAAAGAGCTCTCTTCGGTCAAATTTCAATGTGAAATTTGCGTGAAGAGAGCTCTTTATAGGAGTATGTCAAGGTTAACCGTTTGTACATCTTGAAAAGTTTAGCCTAAATTTTTCAAGTTCGTCGTTAGTAATCCGTGTTAATCTCCTCCATCCTCAACCATCCTTNCTCGTATGCAGACTTTGTGGCGTGAGCTAAATATTATTTGTGGCTAAGAATTCACAGTATGAAATTCCATACTTATTTTTGGCTTATATTATGCTTGGGTCTCCCTATGGCAATATACAAGCTTTAAAATCTGGTTGTACTATCAGTGAATTCGCACAAATTATTCTGAGAGTTAGTTTTTTGACCGGATCAAATCAGAAATGATTCATATTTTAATTAATCAAATATAACCGACTTTGATCCAATCTTGTTTCTACAGAGAGTATAAACAGCAATATTTTTGATCAAACTGCTTCGTGCTCTTACCTTCAATAATCCAAGTAACTTGCATCAGCATGAGCAATAAACTACACTTCATCTTCTCGATTCTTGAAACTTCGCTTGCGGCTGATCAAATAGAATGCCTCCAAACTCGATTCCTTCGGGCCCTATCTGTTACAGAACAGTCAATTCAAGAAATTGCTGAACACAATTGCGAGTTCATTCTGTAGAAGAGGAACAAAAAGACTTAAGCGCACGATAACAGAAGCGCGGACCACTTGGGAATTTCGATGCATTGATGTTAGCAACTCGGGAATTTCGAAGATTATTGCGTTATTTTACGTCAATGGGTCGGACAACGGGGTTAATGTTTACACGGTGATTACTGGATAACTTCTATGCAATTAATAACATAATTAATCACTTATTAGCTAGGGACTCTTTAGAGGCAATTCTAGAAGTACTTCCATTACTCAGACAATTCATCGCATATAATTCTTTTGGCAGCGACACAGAAATACTCAGTTTTGATCAATTGGATTATCAAGACTTTTTTTTCATCAGTAAATGCGAATTTTTAAGTAATTTTTCTTGGGGAGATTGTTTCTAATTTCATTTGTTCAATTCCTGCGTGATTCTGCCTAACTCTTTCTTGGCTATTCGTTCATAAACTAAATTTTCCTCAGCATTTAAAATGTTTGATTTTTCTTTTTACAAGTCGTGCGGGAATCAATGACAAATAAAATTTCATTAGATACCAACAAGCTGGAGACTGATAATTTTACTTTAAAAAGTGTTATTTACGTCTAGAAACCCCAGCGAGAAAGCTGAGTTTACATAAAGCAAAAAACGAGTTTGATGTTACAAAGTACGTGAATTGTGGCATTCTTCCTTGCACCGGGGGCATCAATTCTTCCGGAAAAATAGACAATTCGCGACTGAACAGGAACACAGGTCATGACTGTAACACAAAAAGTTCCAAGGTCGAGGGCGACCGTTGAAAAAATAACTGATCTGGGCTTTCACAGTTTTTTCGCTAGAGACGAGTCTTCACCCATTAAATGAATGGTCAATTTTGCTCCGTTTCCCCTGCCGAGGGTGCTGTATTTGTTTCTTTTCGAAACCTTCACCGGAAGACAACGAAGTTAGCCGACAATTTCCCGACGATACGCGGCTGTACGAAGCGAGGTTACAAAGCTCATACCGAACAATGTTTCAGCCTGATGCTGGTTTCATTCAACAACAACAACAACACAGCGACTTTCTGGAGATGTTAAAAGAAAATGGAAAAGATTTTCTGCCGATTTGCTGTCTAAGGTACGTTAAGAATATAAGTTATTCTTTGTAAACATATGTTATGTCCTAAATAAAATAAAGCGGTCATTCAAATCAATAATCAGCAAATGTATTCCTCCTATATTTTGATTTCTCATTTCCGTGTGTAAGTTAAAGCTTTCTGAAAGCTTGTTAGATTCTCTTTCCTTTCAATGCTGTTTTACTCTTTATTATTTGTTTTCTGTTGGTATTTTGTGAACGTTTCGCCCATTAACTCAAGAGTCTATCAATAAAACCTGGTTAATTTTACAATGTAAAGTCTGCACATATCGAAAATTGCCCTTATCTTAGCAATTATCGTAATATAAATTCCTGAATAAATGGAATAAAATGAAAAGACTGGCAAGCATGATATCCTCACTGCTAAACACTCACATGATATCTGAATTTTATGGATCTCGATCAATGGCTGTTGTATATTTTTTGGTGGTATTCAATCAAAAAGATCGAATGATTCAATACCAGCTGATATTGATGCCCAGTCGATAACTAAAGAGTTGTCACATAAAACCGTAAAACGGCCTCTCAATCACATCAGTTGACATCTTTCAGTTTCATTTGTTTCACAAGCGAGTAGTCTCTGCGAAAAAAAAGTCATTTTCCACATCAATCTGTCAAAATCTAATAGGCAAGTTCACTGACTTTAAATCGATTTTCAATTGTTTTATTTTTTAGTTGTTGTGTACAGTTTTTGTCATCAGAAGAAGCAGATATTTCCCTTCAGCTAAAGTCAACATAAACCATGAGTAACTGAAGCTGGAATTAAATTGTATCTGTCTCATCTGGCATGTAGCTGACAATACAACATTTCTTAGTTGCATCAACAAGAAGATATAACATCTACATGTCCTCTTGATGAACAAGACCTATTGGAAATATATGGTTCTTTCACTAGTCATTAATAAAACTTGTGATTGAAATGGGGATTGGTACATCTTCTGCGGAGCAGAATTCGCCTGATTCAACGTTAGTCCGTGTACCGCGATACACCTTGGAGGAGAAAAGAAAAAAGCATTCCAAATTAAACACGCTTAAGAAGAAACTTTCAAGGAGTAAAGGTGGATTTAAGAGCCATGATCATGGAAAAATGCTGCGAGATTTAACACAGACATGGACGACACAAGAAATCAATGCTTTAGTTGAAGAGTATGAAGCAATGTTGAATGTTAAGGAGTTGAAGAGTCAGACCAATCTTGTAAGACAGTCTGCACCAAGTTTGAAGAAAGACCTCCTAAGGCTGTTTGAAGAGGGAATTTGTGCTGACATGACACTTGTGTTTGAGAATACCCATTTCCACGTTCACAAGGCTATTCTTTCATCTAGATGTCCGTATTTTAAAGACCTTTTTTCACAACACTCTGAACCAGACCCAGTTATTCACATGGAGTTCAAGACTGAAGGAATGACCACAGAAATTTTTTCAGCATTACTCTGTTACTTGTACACTGGTGACTTTACTCCTAAAAGGTCTGGGCTAGAGTACATTGATGTTTTAATCAATCTAGGCGAGGAATTTGGTACACCAAATGTCTTAGAGCAGGATTTAAAACTGCTTTTTAACAGTGGTGATTATGCAGATGTTGCATTTGTGTTTCCTGCACAAGACTCTTCAGATGCATTCACATCAGCAGATGGGAGCACCATTTCTGACCATACTTATGAAATTTTTTGCCACAAAGCTATTCTTTGTGCTAGGTCGCCGTATTTTAGATCGCTATTTCTCAAGAAAGACGTGAATTTACCTGAAGACAGGTCAACCTCAAGTGTAACAAGACTTGTTTTAGATGAATCAGTTATGACGAGGCAGTACACACGCATTGTTTTACAGTGTATGTACACTGACTCTGTGGATTTGTCGTCTGTTGTTAAATGGAGCTCGGAGGACAAGAGATATTATGCTTCTGGGACTCACAAATTATTGACATCAGCAGAGATCGCCATGGAAGTATTTGAGGTAGCAAGCTTCATTGATTTGCCTGTGCTAATTCAAGGTAAGCTACATATTATACTTGTGGTATAATTTGCTTGAAAAAAAGAGGGCTGATGATGAGGGCTAGAAAGATGCCAGCACCATTAAGACATCTGTCACTTTATGCACACATAGAGAATATTATAGGCTACACACTCAGAGATGTAAATTTTACTTTTGAGTGGTAAAGACGATATTTTATGAACCATCGCAGCAAGTGAGTAAAATATCTTTAACACAAGTAAATAAAATTCAAATCTTCAAGCCACCAAGTAATTTCTTTTCATTATGTAGACAAACTGTCTTTCAAAGAACAGACTGTTGTATAGCTATTAATAAATGCAATCGTGATCACTCAATTTAGATCAACCATAAAATTTAGCCCTACCCTGTTAAAATGGGCAAATTTTTGTGGCCTGTTAGAGACCGTGTTAACGGTGTTCCAGGGTTTTGGTGAGATATAGGTTGGATATAACCTATAGAGGACAAGCATCCTACCCAGGGGGGAAAGGGGGATTTGAAATGCTCCTTGTTGCTTTATGCTGTGAAAACCAGAAATAAGCACCAGCATGATGGGCCACTATGCTTGAACAGGCTTTCCTAGATTGTTTCGTACTAACCAAGTGCAAGGTCCATATTGTAAGTTATGGACCAAGTTTTTCCCTTCTGATTTATGGCTAAGCTTGAAGTGCACTAGCAATATATCAAACGGAAAAGCAGGGATTCATTACCTGCAGTGTGAAAAGAGAAGAAGAAGCTAGTAAGATACTTACATCGAACTACTTGTGTTTGACGGGTTTGGGAACAGTTTCAAATTTTGGCAGGCTGTTCAGGAGAATACAGCTGGCATAATTGACCAGTAGCTAAGAAGTACAATAAAGTGCAAGAGTACATGTATTGAGTACCTGTTTTCAAATAATTTATCTGTTTGACCAGGCTGTGAAGACATCATTCTAGAAGAGCTGTCTCCCTCTACCCTCCTGCCCACCCTGGAATGGAGCTCACTTCCTCATGGGTCAGACTGGGTCTACAGACAAGCCATGCAGTTCTTACAGGATGAATTTGTCAACATCGCTCAGACGGATGCTTTTTCCTTTATACCTAAAATGTATTTGGCAGAAGCATTAAAATCTGATTTTCTGCAGGTATTTGATATTCTATCAATAACAGAGAATCAGGTTAAAATAATTTCCATAATTTCTAATGTCTCACTTATTTGAGTGTCGTGCAGGGGGGTCTCTGGCACGGCTCATAAACAGGAAAAATAGAGGATAATGGATCGCAGATATAAAAATTCTGTTTTCCCAGATTACAAAAATAAGCAAGTAAGATATTCTTTTTAATTACTTGTTCTTACACTAGAAAACAAAATCCTGAAAGGCTAATTCAAGGCTCCATATTGCAAATCGCATACCTAAGTCACTCTCAATAGACCACTCTAACCATTCAGAAGACTCGCGTCTCAAAATAACCTAGAATAGAGTGATGAAATCACGAATATTAGTTAATATTTCAAGTTCTTCACTGGTCACGCAAAACCTTCAGGTCATGGATCATGAAGAATAATTTCCTAAATTCATGGTAAATGAAATCAGCTAATCAGGCATCACAAGAATACCCCTGTACGACCGTCTGATATCCACTTTGCCACCTTTACTACTACTTGTAAAGTTGTTTATTTACTGGTTACCTATTATATAATTAATCGTATCTAAAACAAAATTCTTGATCGTGATTGGTTCTCTGCGTGCCTATTTTGTCACGTAATTGGTGCACAATCACGTGGGTATGCCTCGTGCTTTGCGCTCGAATGACTTTGAAATTACTTGCACCATTACTCCCTGAATTGTGCTCCACTCGGTGCAATTACTATTTCAAATTAAATTTTGCCAGTTTGTATAATAATTATTGTTGCAGTTTTGGGTCAGGATAGTCTGTTGTCACCCAAAAATGAAAGTTCAGCACATTTCAAATCTCTTTCAGATTTAGCTGCATTTTGTTTTATAACTAATATTATTATATGGCTAGCTCCGTGAGCAGGCAAGATGAATCAAATCCTGNTTCCTCACAGTTACTATTAATACCAATCCAAAAGTTGGGAACACTTTGCTTTGGTTTCCCATGCAAAATATGCCATGACCAATCAAACAGGGCAGTGTAACTGGTAAAAAATTGCTATTTGCAACCCACTAAGTCCATTAAGAAATTAAATTACTGCATGTAATGTAACCTGGCTAAATGTAATTTAGGGAAAGTCAAATTCGAAACAATGCAGGTTAGCAGTCTCCTTCCTGGCTGCACCAAAATGGCGTCATAAATCATGTAGGGTGTAACGCTTATCTCACAACTCGTTAAAATTCGCAAAACTCTGAAATGATCACGAGAATTTGATAGTTGGTCACTACTAAAGTCTTGACATTCTTTGTGTCACAGGCCATCCTTGAAGAACACAAAGAAGCGGAAGTCGAACTTATCAGACACCGGATGTCACGTGTCAGTCATAACATGCCCGATACTCTGTACATGGTGGGCTCGCAAAAGCGTAGCAACACAGCACCAGCCCTCTTTCTTCAAGCTGCAGCTGCGGGTAGACTGGAACAAGATGACAGACCTTCTACAGCCCAGAGCTCCAACAAGAGTGATAATGAACTGGACAGATATGTGAGGAACAGGCGCACTAGTGAAGTAAATACAGGTATGTTGATGGACATTTAGAGGGTGCAGGTAACCTCTTTTTTTTAGTGCAAGGGTGGTTGCACAGTTTCCAAAAAAAAAAAATCCTGCACAACAAATACTGCTGAAAAAACAATCGTGCAAGGGGAGACATGGGAAAAAATTTCTAGCAAGTGCTTTTTACTGTCCAGGTCCCGTGTTTGACTTTAAAAAATATTCTTGCACAAGCTATTGTCCACTAAAAAAAACACGCCCAACCTAAAAGTTAGAAGAATATTTCATGCCCCAGAAAATTGCCTTCCCCACCCTTTCCCCCCGCAGAAAAATAATGGTCTTTCCCTATCTGGAAAATGTTCACGCTCATGTTCTTCGGAAGCTTTGGACCTTTTGTAAAATTTTCGGAAGTTCTAACAATCTCACACAGACTCAGAATCGTAAAGTTCTACATATTTTAAGACACCGTAAAATCGACAGACATGGTGGAACCCCTGAAGTGACTGTTGTGGAAACGAAAGTTCTGTGAAATTGGTTGCACATTATCATCTGAGGCCAGATATTATGTACAGTATCTGGGATTTTTAAAAGGAGAATTTTAACTTGGAGTTAAAAAATTCATTGAAAAGAACGTTGAGGCTCCACGAAAAAATTGCGTAATTCATAAATTCAACAAATTTGTTCGTATAGTTCAAGACTAAAGATGAGATTGTTGAAAGAAAACAAACAGAGAGAAAAGAGAAGTTAGGAAGAAAGGTTTCTCTCACCCACTCACCACCCCCTTCCTTTTTTCCACTGCCACTGGAAGATACACTGAGGTTTTTACGGCAGCTTTCATTCAAGGCTTCATTCAGGGCAAGTTCCATGTATTCGTTGTTCTTCTACTGTTAATCGGTCTTAAGAGCTACTCTACTAGATCTTTGGACGAATTCATGAGATACAAACAGTTATTTTTCTTCCTATTTTTTAAGGTGAGAGAGAATCAGTTGGCGCTGACCGGAGAGCGGAGCGGGAGTTGGCTTTACCAGACGTTGCCATGGAACTGCCGTCGCATTTCCCTAGTGATTATTGGGACAGGGGACCCGGGCCTTCAAGTGCGCATCCTTTCGGCGTGGAGGTAAGTAATAATGTTAAGTCTGCATACGAGCTCACCAGGCCGGAGCTAATCCCGCTTTCAGTAGCATGAAGGGACTAGGAGTATTTCTACTACCCCCTGGATGGGATGCCAGTCCATCGCAGGGTTACCCCCACAGCATTAAATTCACCGGTACCCATTTGTACACCTCGGTGGAGAGAGGTACTGTGAGAGTTAAGTGTCTTGTTCAAGAAGACAACAACGTGTCCCCTGACAGGGCTCGCACCAGCACCGCTCGATCTGGGGGCAAGCGCACTAACCATGAGGCCACCGCACCTCAACAAAAAAAAAAAGCAATAGAAAAACACAGTTATTCCAGAGAGCTGGGAACTTAACTACTCATCTTGTAATTATGTTCACAGATACCTGACTACATCATGGGCCCAGTACCAGATGTTGCTCTACCCTCCTCTCCCACATCCAGTGTTTCGTCCTCTGGAGTCCCCCCTGAGTATTTTCAAATGGACCAATCGTTGGAAGCTTTAAATGACGAGGGCTCAAGTGGAAGTAGCTGACATCGCGCATGTTTATTTATTTATTTTTTTTTTTTTGTAAGAAAATACAAATACATGGATATTTTTTAATGACTTATCCGTTTCTATAGTCGTCAGAACAAACACTGTTTTGAATGGAACGAGAGGGCGAGACTAGTGAGCCGGAAACATTTTGATTGTTCTTCAATTTCGAGACCGAGAAACAAAGCGTTTTAAATGCGAGCTCAAGACGTTCAGGTTCTTAGACGTTAAGACCTGCTTTATATATTAAAAAGAAAAATCGGTACTTCGAGACTTTTTTAGCCTTGCAAAAAATAATCGAGACTGCGAGACGCACACAACTGCTAAGAAAAACGACACGGCCAGACCCATGATTTTTAAAGGACCATTCAGCACCCCTAAGATGAGAGCAATTTTAGAGACGGATTTTCCACTCCTTTTAGTCCTCCATTCGTGTTTTCACCTCATGCACGTTGCCGAAATTGGTGATCGGCAGAATCTTGACGCAGCAAATAAATTTTTCTTGTTCTGTTCGTCAAGATGAAGCTGTCGATTATGCATTTGGCATTCTTATCAAACCCTCTTAGTCGTTATACGTGTTTCATGATAAAATAAGTGTCGAGTATTAGTGACATGGTCACGTAATATCACCAAAACCTGATGGCACCTCGATAATGGATTGAAATGATAGAAAACTAAAAATTGGTGAAAATTGGCTCAAGGTAAAGTTAACGGTACGTGTTGTGATATGTGTGATGTGAGATGTGTGGTTTGAAATGTGTGGCGTGAGATGTGTGATGTGTGGTGTGAGATGTATGTTATGCGATGTGTGGTGTGAGATGTGTGATGTGTGGTGAGTTTTGTGTGCGTGCGTGTTGTGTCATCAAATGCATGGGTCATTTTCATGTTTAATTTTGGAATTAAAACTAATTAAACAAAGACATCCAGGAGTCGCCTAATACAGCTGCAATTGATAGTCTTTAAATTTATTTTTTTCTTTTTGTATTTCATTGACAGCGCAAGATATTGAGGCAATATTTAGTCGCGTTGTGAAGTCTTTCCCTGCGAGCAGTTGGTTTCTCTTTAGCCGAACGAAGAGAAACCTACTGCTCGCAAGGTATATCCACGCCGAATCTGTAAAATATTGTAAAAAAGCAACCTGAGTCTACCTCGATAAATAAAAAAAATATTGAAAACTGATCACAGCAGCTGTCATTTCTTGCCTTTATATGGATTAATTTACATTTGAGGATTCACAGTGTCATTTCCACAAAGAAGAACACCAATCAATATAAATATCTGCGTTTATATCATCTCAGATATGCATATTCTTGTTGATGTTCCACAACGTTGGATGATGATCAACTAAAGGGGTTCATGGGAAAAGACCTTGAAGTGACATCTGATAGACTGCAAGATTCTCCAAGTAAACTGCTTTTTGCTTCCTTGTACAAAAAAGGAGAATTTGGTATGAGATCAAGAGTCACTTAGGGCTAGTTTTCCCTTTGTAGCCCGACTAGCTGGGCGATAAAACCAGTCGGCAGTAATTGCATGCATGCAGCCGAGACCATCCTCCTAATAGTATAAAGACTTTTATGGTAAAAAGTATAACATTTAAGGATGGAGAAGACTGACACGGATAACAAACGACGAACTTGAAAACTTTAGGCTAAACTTTTCAAGATGTTTTTGATTGTATACAGGCCATTTTCGTAGACAGAGAATATATATAATTTTTCACGTTGTTAGTGAAATATAGTTGTGTGCCGGTATGAAGATTCGTTAGCATGCAGGAGTTCAGTTGTCACTCGACGGCATCTCCGCTTTTGATCAATTCATTTTGGAAATTTTGTTATAGTAACATTTCCGTGCTTGTTGTTTAGTACATTCGTTGTATTACTGAGTATCCTAGGGCCGCTTACCTTTGTTACAATGAACTATGCTAAGGCTGTTTATGTCTGATCAATAAACGAGATGACCCCTCNCCCCCCCCCCCTTTATACGACTGGTGGTTTCTTACTTGTAATAAGTTAAAAATTATCTTGTTTTCGCTCCACGGCAGAGTGATTAGAAAACAAATGACATTTCTTTCGGCGTTAAAACGTTAGACTAAATTGTGCACGCCTCGGAATGCAACCACTACACGTAAACTTTACGTGTAGCCTGGGAACTGGCTACGAATTTAATAGTCTGTAAAATACTCTTGTTGGTTTCTAAGCGAAGTTTCTACGGCGAGAAAAATGCTTGTACGTGAGCCTATAAGCAACTGTGATCACGTCCCTGTCAAACCAGACAAACCAGACAGTGAAGACAAGTTTGGGTTGTACGACTAGATTTGGACAAGAGTAGAAAATAGCGTTTTTGCAAAGCGTTCATATGTAATTTTCGAATTATTTTCGAAATTTCGGGTTTATTAGAAAATTTGAAACAAAGGACCCCGGCGAAATAAGGGTTATTGCCATGATAACAGAGAGAGATTAAACCTGGAACGATAGTTTGCCAATATACCAAATCAGATCAGATCTGAATGGTATAAGACAACACCGAAACAGGGGAAGAATAGTATGGTTAGATACTGAAGCCCATATAAGGTGCAAAGAGTTCCTACTCTTTTCAGAAAATAGTCTGTTAAGAAGCCCTCGCAGCTTCACAACCAATCTGCATCCATCCATAAGATAAGCTGAAAAGCTTTTACTCTATAGACTTTGAATAATGACGTCCGAGTTATCGAGGGAAAATTCATAAAGAAAATGACCTAAAGGGATGAAAAAACAAAGCAGAACAGAATCATTTTGCTTTGGGCGTGAGGTTCGACTTACCGACAGTAAAATTACAGCCAAATAATTAAATTTTATTTTCATGATCAATTAGCGCGAGATTCAAGTTACGGAGCCTTCACACTATCACTGAGGACTCGACTGTAGTATTGACCCAGGACTATAGTTTCTTAACTTGAAAGCCATTCGAGGGGTCGAGTTACCGAAGGTAAAATTACATTAAAAAAAATAATAATCAATTTTATTTCGAGTTAGCGCGAGATTCGAGTTTCCGAGCCTTCAAACTACCAGGAGTCGATTGCAGTATTGACCCAGGGCTCTAGTTCCTTCACTTGAAAGCCATTCGATATTCCTAGAATAGTTCTCACATAACTCGTGAACGTTTCGTTATGGGAAAAACGCGTAATGTATGACGTGATCGTGAGATTCGTGAGACAATTTGGTTCTGCTCGAGCGACTTCGAGTCACGTCTAATAACCAAAACAAACAAACGCCGAGCTAATATTTGAGTTGCTTTTATTCTACCGACTCAAGATTGGATAGTACAACAACAGAGGAACCATGAAGTATCATCTTAGTTTCTACAACATTTTTTACAGCATTTACAATTGTACTTCTTTATTCATGTCACCTTGGCCAGTCTTAATTGCTTTTTTCAGTGTTTTATTTTTACAATAACGTTGGCATAGTAACATAAATTAGCGCTAAACATTTTTATTTATTTTGATTCTTAATATTCGCACAGAGGTAAACTGCTTTACTATGTTAAAATACCGTTTTTTCTCTTCTATTTACACTGTTAAATAAAATGTAGACTTTTAGCTACCGGTTAACCTTGAGACTACTGTATTACACTTCCGAGATAGGTATTAACATAACCAGTTTTTCTTTTGTCTTTTGGTGAAAAGTACCCCAGATAGAAAGTTCAAATTTCAGGACAAGAAATTTTAATAGTCAGTCATCAGACATAAATAAAAAGAAATTTAAATAAGCTATACCGCAATCAGTCGCAGGAAGGAAAGATTTTGTATAACCATCGAATGTTATCGGTGATTAAAATTTCAGGGATGAATACTCAAGTTGCTAGTTCGGTGTCCATTATGAAGGATTTAAATTAAACTTCCAGAAAGAAGGTATAATTCTTATCTACTTTAATTTCAGGGACTAATTTGTAACTCACTGAGCTATCTAATACTCGTCATTTACCTGTTTAAAGTCGCTGCAAACATAGTGTAGTATTAACTGTTCAATAGCCCGGTTTTTAATAATTTTTCGGGATTTTTTTGAGTCTCAAACAAGTCAGTCAGCTTTTCAGTAAATCAAATAATGCATAAACTAAGCTATTGTTTAACAACTGATCCTACTTATTTATAATTCGAGATCGGAATAAAACAACTTTTATTTTTAAGGCACGACAAAATATCTCACAACAAAACACTTAAACTCAACTTGAAAAATCTGTAGAAGACAAGTGCGAGCAATTTCTTTTCGCGTTAGAATGACTAAATATTCTCACACAGCTGGGCAAATATGGAAATTTGAATCAGCCATCCGAGATTCAGTGATCCCTCCATATTATTCTCTGTGACATAAATGAAAAACCCTGATCTAATCTTTGGCGAATTTAATAAAAAAAATCTTCGAATACGTCCGTACATCTGTAAATAACAGCTGCGAACAAAAGCGACTTCAAACTGATGTCCCATCGGGGCATTAAATAATGGACCAAGTGTGACTTATATTGTTTTGCTATGGACAAAAATAATTTATGTTCTTTCTGGTCGCATTTACATGTTCTTGTTTGACTGAAATTGTTTATCTCCACCTTAAAGGTGATCTGTTTACCCGATTCAGTGGAAGTTGATTCATAGTGCAATCAAAACAATTCAACGCACAGCAGGTACACTGCGATTCCGAGATTCCGGAAAGTTCTGCTTAGTCGATTTTCTATTTTGAGCGTATGATCCGTCACTTCTGGTTCTTTTTTTCACAACAGGAGTGGAAGTTTCTTCGTTTAAAATACTGTAGCCATCTCGTGATTTCTCTGCTTTGCAGTTTGCTCTGTCCGCCGCGTATACAATTTCCTGCGAGTCCACATCAGACGATTGACAAGAGAGATCGCCTGCAAATTTCACGCAGTTATCAGTGCTGTTTGATAATGGGCGCGATTTTTCCAGCGACGAATTGGCAAAATGCACCACGACTTGGTCGGGATCCGCGATTTTTTGAAAACCCACTAACTGAACAGATTCTGTCGAGCCATTTCTATGAGCGTCCCCATCCGTTAGCGATCTAAGGCGTCTACCGATAAGTTGTCCCACTGAGACCGAAGTGCTTTTAGTGTCTTCTTTCTTCTGTGATTCCTTGCTTTGTTTTTTCTTTTCGTCTCCTCCCTTTGTCCCGTGGAATCCTCCCCTTCTTCCCAACATTTTCTGTGGTTCTTCCTCTCCGGGTTTGGACGCCGCGACGTTTCCGCCTCCGCGAGGCGTTTGGGGTTTTCTCCTCAACGCCCTGATACTCACTCTGCACATTTCTTTGCAGCCTGCTCGAAACTTGGCGTTAAACAGCGCGTAAATAAACGGATTGCAAATACTGTTGCACAGTCCTAAAGAATATGTGATCAGTCTCACATAGTCCACATGGGTATCGGTCTGCTTGACTGTCCACTCGATCGCGCTGATGTAAATCAGCAGCGGCAACCAGGTCACAAGAAAAACAAAGATCACCGTTAGGAACATTTTCAGCACCTTCTTTCGGCTCCGGATGAACGCTTCCACGGGTCGTGAATCTCCGAGCTGGCCGCTTTTTCTCCTCCAAACTGTCCGGTAGATTTTTGCGTACAAGATGATCAAGGAAGCTAAAGGAATCAAGTACCCGAACAGCCCAAGGAACATCACGTAGACTAAGCCAGAGAGGGTGGTGGCAGGGATGGTAGCGCAGTAGGTTAGGTTCGTGTAGGGATCCACTGGTGTCTCTTTCAACTCGGTCAAATACAAGCTCGGGGCCACAACAACTAGGGCGTAGATCCAAGCGGAAAGAATCAGCTTATTTGCTGTGCCATACGACATGATATTCAATGGGTGCACGACAGCCTGGTGTCGGTTCCATCCGATTGTAATCAGCAGGGTCATGGATGCTTCAGGTGACAGATACTGAAAGAATCTAGCGATCTTGCATAGCGGCAAGCTGTAGCTATGAGAGGCGATATCGTTTTTGAAGTTGATTGAAAGAAACAATGGAATAGCGAGAACACTAACGATCAAGTCGCTGATAGCGAGATGAAGAATAAAACGGTTCATTACAGATCGCAGTTTCTTCGCTCGTAATATAACAGCAATGACTAAACCATTGCCGAGAAAACCCACCACCGCTGCGATGCTGAGACACACAATGATCCCAATCTTGAATCCTTTGTCGTGGATTTCGAGATCTGCACGTTCGTGATTGTCGCTTGTATCATTGCTTGAGACGGCCATCTCTCGGGAACTATGATTTCTGCTAACGTTGACGGTTTTGTTTTCCTTTCCTTGGGTCCACGTGTATTTATTTGATGACTGAGCAAAAGTTCACACTTTATACGCGTGGTGTCTTACCCGGCCGTTGAAATATGAGAGCAGTCTAAGGCGTAGATGGCTTTGTCATGTACATCGACAGATATAATCCGCGCTCTGAAGGTCACACGTTCAAAACAGGTTCAAATTGCAGTTCCTTTAGTTTACGTGACGTTCAGGAAACTTCTCGATAAGAAAAGCAAATCGTTTGGACAAACCGTGCACGTTGTTGACTCTTTGGACTACCAAGGTGATGGTGATGACTTCATATCGCTTAAGCGGCGCTCACATGCAAATATCAAATACATCGTGATTGCGAATATTGTCAATATCGATTCAGTTCAGTGGAGCCTGTGCCTTTAAAGCCTCCGGGGTTGCGTGGATCACAAAAGACACAATGAACTGTTAAGAACGTCAGAACGAATTTACAAACTGTAACTGTTTTTCAGCTAGTCGAGAAACGCGCGCCGGTGAATGGTCGATGAGATGGTGCGAAGTGGAACGCTGTGTCATTAGCTTCTGAACTGTTGTGCGTAGGAAATGGCTTGCAAATTTCTTTTTTAAGTCTAGCCTCTAATCACATTGGTCGTGATTGGGTAATTCGTAGCTAATGACGTGCCATTGTGAATAAAAAAATTTGCAACTCAAATAATTAACAAAGACCGAATTTTGGTGTTCTTATTGTTCTTTCAATCCACATAAATCGTTTCGTGGGATTTTTGATGCAGAGGTCGTGCAAGCGGCAATAATATGCTCTAAAAATCATCAAATGTCTGAAAGATCATCAAATTGTCGGTTGACCTCTGGCTAAACGAAGTTAAAATGGCTGAAAATGGTCAAAAGTGAAATTAATGTCTTTAAAAGATAACTACTCGGGAAGTAAGCAGGTGTTCAACGCCAAATCCATTTAATAAGTAAACACTTCATGTTCGTTCGCTCATTGAAGGCCAACTGTGATATTTTAGCGTGACTGAGAAATAAACTGACGTCGTTATGGTTTTATCAAAGAGAAACTTGTATCACGTACAAAGGATGAAAATAGAAACTTCTTAATCCCTTAGTCACGAAATTAATTTACTCAAGAAAAGAAAAAACGCACCATGAAACAAAAACCTCGAAGAGCTGCTTTCACAAAAGGATTGTTTCGAGAAGTTTGCCAATTGCGATTTAATTTATGAAGTCTCATTCAATTTCCTCTTTTGAGTAATTGATAGATGGACTTCCATTGCCGTGTGGTGTTTGCGGAGACATATTTGACGTTGTCGTTCCGTGTTAGCTTTACGGTCCTTGTACTAAAACGAGAATCGGATGCTGCATGGAAAATCGTAATTTGCGTCACAATAGCGAGACTTATGAGCGTAACCTTCGCGTGCTGGAAAAGGTCGAGAAACCGTTGGAAGTAAAAAAAACCGCTTTCATGCATAGAGATTTTATTTTTGGTTAAAAATAACAGCCCAGCAAGAGCTCTTGTACATTATCCTCCACAGGCATGAAATTACACCCTTCAAGCTGCTTTTTTTTCTGTCTTTCTTTCTTTCTTATTTTCGTTATCTTGTCGGGGAAGAAGTAAGGCCTGAAAAGGTCCTGTTTATTGCTGCTGTTTTTCACATGAAAAAAAGACCGAATAACTCGATGTCAATCAATAATTTCTGTAAAAGATTGGCCTGCAAAATGTAAACTTAAAACATCCACTGACAAATTCAGAAACAATAACATGGTGAACGGAAATTCGGGACTGCACCTGTTTGCACTCCCAGCAATAAACAGTACAGGCTCTCCGTGAGACTGCTCTTGTAAGCGACCAGTTCTAGCCGTAATCATCACTAGCTAGTTTTCTGTGACACCCCATTTGAATGTCTCTCAAACCTCTAAGAGTTAAGAGTCTGGGCGCAGTAGCCTCACAGTTTAAAAAACAGCCTAGTCACGGTATTTTGAGTTATTTTGGGCACCTACAGTATTACCTTTAAATTGAAGGGAACCTGAAAATAATAGCTCTATTCTATTTCGCTACGCTCAGTCGAATAGAAAACATTTCTATTACAAGTGGAGGAGACAAACAGTACAACAAATAGTGGAGGAAGCCGCCAGCAATAATCAAGTTTATTTACAAGAACTGAGACACGCTGAATACAGGTTACAAGCCAGAGAATACAAGAAAATGTCACACGCTGTTTTAAACAACGATATTAACAATAAGGAAAAAACAGCCTCGAGTAAACTGGTCGGCGTCAAGTGGTGTGATATTCACAAGGAGTGGTATATAAATGTATGATTATCCCAGTGGGAACTAATACAAAGCAAACTAATTAAACACCTAAAAGAAATAAATTTTACTAAGATAGCAAAACACCAAAGAGATAATAATAACCATAACGAAACAAGGATGGTCAAGGATGGAGAAGATTGGCACGGATTACAAACGACGAACTTGGAAAAATTTAGGTCTGCTTAACTTTTCAAGATGCAGAAGTGACATAGCCCCTTTAAACAAATACACCTGACTTAATCGCATTTATAGGATAATGTGATATACATAAAAAAAAATCTATTAATTGATAAACTGAACTTCTTCCGTCATAGGAGTCAAAATACTATTTTAAAATAGCCAGTTTACCTATACCATTTCCACGCTAAAAGCTTTCGCAAGAGACCAGTCTTCACCGTTTTAGTACGCGCTCGCTAACGAGGAAGATTTCTCGTTAGCGATAGCACACTAAAACAGCTCTAAATCAAACGCCTGGGGTGTTCACTTACGAGAGCTTCGACTTAAGCGGAAAAAGCTTGTTTAGGGAACTTTTAGTTCAAAATGATCACTTCACCAATCCGTTTTTTTAACCACACATCTACTGTATAACCTACATTTTACATTATATTGCCACCTTTAAAACTACTGAGAACCAAAAATCTGATCCAGTTCTTTACGCAGCATTTTGGAACACCGTTTGTTCATCAATTTGTTTATTTTCCTTTGTCATTCACCAAGACCAGTCCCGCTTTCCCTTAGTTCGTCAACTCAGAAGCCAAAAAAAGCAGCTCAACTAATTGAAAACAAGAACCGTGTCTGCGCGAAATATAGTCTTCTTTTCTATGTCTTGTATCACCCTGGCTACGGCAAGCCTAACGTTTTTTAAACTTTGGAGATATTTAATTTGAATCCAGCTGTGTAGACCAAAGGCGGATTAGATCATCAACAACCCGGACAAAAAAAAACAACATTTCTGCAATGTTTCACGCCATCTCCCAGTGGCTTAGGTCCCGTCCGCGTCCACGCCACGCCGGAGAAATTTGAAAACGGACGTTTCACTCTGAAATCGCGTCAAATGTTTTCCGTCAACACGAATATGAAAACGCAACAATCACCGATCATTTTGAATTTGTATTTGAGGAAATCTCGGTCATGAAAATTACATGACTATCGTGATGCCATCATTTTCGAAAAGTTCCGTTTCCATAATGTTTTCCGTCTACACGAACACGAAAAGCCGGCGTTTTCAAATTCTTCCGGTTTGAGGAGCGTCTTCGAAAAGCTCCGTTTAAATGTGGACGGTAGGCATAACCGTTGCGTGGACGGAGTCTCCAGTTTGTCTCAGTTTTCCGAAGTCTGATTGTTTCGGGGTATCAATCTCTCTCCCAAACACAACTGATTCAGTGTCTTTTCAGTGTGTACGTTTCTCCTCTGAAGAGCAAAACACTAAGCCGTAGAGATATTTGTTCTCTTAGCGTTCTCAGGTTACCATCTACATCCCATTTTTCTGTATCGTAACAAGCTTGCGCGCGCGAAATGTTGCAGTGTTACATCGAACTGAGACAACTGCCATGTTCAAGCATGTTAGTAGTGTCCTACCCTAACGGCTCCTTTGTGAGAACAAAGGAAACACAAAGGAAACTCCAGCAGACAAAGAATAAAATACATGCACGGAACCAGTGAAAGAAAGGACAGAGTAGAATGAAGGATCCCAGGGTTTCAAAGTTTATCATTGGTTTTGTCCGTGACTTCCAACATTTCCTCCACCAGCTTTGACGACCATGTAGAAATCAACGTTCTCAGTCACGCCACCGTAGTCATTGTGTGGGCGTATTTTTCTTTGGCTTCACTGCGGAAAAGAACGACTTCCCTTTTCCGCGTCGAACAAAGAAAATAGCACACGTGAGCACCACGCAGGCCGCGTGCCACCCGCGTAGGCACGCCTCCTGAAAGTATGCTAAACTGAGGCCCATCACAAAGTCACGATTTGAGAACGTTTTATTATGGAGATGACAAGGCGGAACTGTTGCTAAAGGAAGCAAAATGAACAGAATTGTAAGATCTGACATGAGTCAGCGCTTTTGATGATTAAAGTACTAATGTCATTATTTCAAGCACATATACTTCTTTAATTGCCTCTCCACTCGACGCTCTCGACTAAACAAGGTATGTCCGTTTGGGTCTGTTTGAGGCACGAAAAGCGCAGGATGACACTGGGGGTAAAGAAAGGCAAACACTAAACAGAGCAAATGTTTAAACGTGCTAACTATTTGTTTGAATTTCGTTTTTTCTTGTCTTTCCTTAAAGCAACTAGTTTTGGCTAGTTTTCAACATCTTCTACACTCACAGATTGTTTTTTCTCTCTTGGGGTTTTTAAATTGTTTTAAAATGCCCCTTGCAATCGAGTTCAGTTTGCGTTGCCGCTAGAATTCACTTCTTATGCATACATAAGTAGCGATAGAGTTGGATCTTGGATGTTATGCATGACTTGCGAAATCAGTCAAGGGGGGACCAAGATAAGTTGATGAGTTGTTTTTTATTTTTCTCCTGCTTGGTCACTAAAACTGAGCAAACAAACATTTTCGCTCTATGAAACACAAATTCACTCTTCTGATCTTACTGAGATCTAAATATTCGACGAATGCTATACAAAATATACCAGAAAAGGAAAAAGGCGCAAGATCTGTGCCACTGGTTAGCCTCCAGCCGGTTGGGATTCTTAATAGTTTATGTTATATTTAAATTATCTGTTTATTCATTTACAGCGTCCCCAATTAGGACATTTAATAGTGCTAAATACATTTGACACTTAAATAAAGTTTTCTTCTTCTCTAAATGCTAAAGGTTTGACGAGGTCAGTGCGCGGGCCGAAAAAACGTCACTTTCGCAGTCAATTGTGCGCAAAAGTCGAAAAATTGCTGCTCGGCGTTTACAGACAATGCACTGTAATTCTTGCAAGCATCTTCAAATGACGCTCAGCAAGAATATTGTATTTGTGTTAAGTTCTATAACCTTACGGCGTGACTGCCAGTATTTAATGACCGAAAACAAAGATTTGCTACCAAATCTACAATATATGTTTAAGCGGTTCTTATGCCTATTGCCAATACAGCAAACCCTGATGATAAAATGCTGTTATTATACCTGTTGTTTCTGTTTGAACTTTACTTTTCCTTAGTCATAGATCAGAAAACTGAAACTCTGTTGAAAACATTTTGTAAATCGTGGGATGTCAAGTCTAAAACAAACCAAAACATTTTCAATAGCAATCAATAAGTCAATGACAGTCAACTGAGAAATCAATGAAAATCGAAGCTTTGATTTTTTTATTGATTTCTTAAATCAATCAATTAATTAATTTGATTCCTATTAATTATTATTAATTATGTTGATTATTGATTGGTGTCGTCAGGGTTTACAGTAGCTAGCCTGCTTGGCAGGAGTCCAATGGGAAGGGA